ATAAGGAGTGACAAAGGAAAAGACTGAGATGCAGTATTGAAAAAAATTGAGACACACTATGTAGAAAAATATTTAAAACTCCAGAAGTTATTGTAATTATTGTAGGGGTGAGAAGGCTGAGTGAGTGAGGAGACAGTGGATAGAGACCAACACAAATGCTTAATACCATCTTAGCCCTTCTTCAGGCCTGACTCACCTTCAAGGGTAGGGTGGGAGAAAATGAATTTTGAGAGGAGGCAGATTAGTATAGTGGGATTCAAAGACTCTGCATTAAATGAAAGATATATCCATTAGGACTAAAGAATAGGAGAGGAAAAGAATATCATACATTCAAAGAGGAAACTTTAGGTATAAAGGTCAAGTTTTAAATTCATGCATTCACATCTATTTTTACAATAAATTTAAAGTCTTTGAAAGATAGACAACGACATCAAGCCAGTTTTTAGATAACTCTAAAGCTCTGACTAGCTGGAGCCTCTTATCGTCTCTTCCATTAAGTTTTGTATGCCCCACTGTTATTCATCACCCACTCCTCCAGGATCTGCTGGACTAAGTGAATCCCAAAACCTTGATAAAAAGTTTATTACTGTTTCTGACTCATGAAATTCAAAAATTTATCCTCTTTTATTGTCTTTCTTTGTTTCTATCAATTTCATAATATCTAAGCAAGACACTAAATTTCAGAACACTCTATACTTAGCAATGAAATTATTCAAACAGTAACAACCAAAATATTGTCTATGTATCACAATGTTGTCATTTAATATTAAATAATGTTTGAGTATTTATTATTAAATAAAGATTACAGGATACCCTGATATTACTTTCTTCTTTTTGACTTAAAGTAATTATTATATCCAATTTAGTCAATTAATGAAATAAGCCAATTAAGTTTTTAAAGAAAAGGCCAATTCAATAAGATTGTACAATTGACTAGATGATTTTTAACTTCCCTGGATTTAATGAGCAACATGATTTGAACTTGAGAAAATAAAGACAGTAGCAGGTGCCACTCTTCTGTGTACGTCTATGTTCTGGATGTGTTTCAGAAAAATGAACAGAAATTTAATGATGCTATTATCAATGTTTTTTGTAATCATTGTATCAGTGATAGTTTCTCCAGTATTACCTTTCTTTACTCTGCTTTGTTTGTGATTTACATGACTACCTCTGAAATATTTATGACTACTTTACATTATAGACTGATTTTAATAAATATCCTGAAAGTCAATTCACCCATATAGATGGACTCTTCATTAAACCACGATATAAAATAAAAGTACTAAAGATATGTTGTGAATGAATATTTTCAAATAAATTCACTTTTCAATGATTTAGCACTCTTAAATATAGCCTAAATCAAAGTTTTAAAGATAAAATTTCATAATGAATGATTTAGAAGAAGCAGCTTATTTGTTGGGGAAGGAATGTGTTTGTCTTATGGAGAGATGCTCTGTCAGATTTTCAAAAATGCTGATTCAAACATGGATCAAACCAAAGATCTATGTCACCCACATTACCATAACAACAAAATGTTAACCATAGTACATTTTTCCAGATAGAGAATTTATACTACTAATTTAGACAACACTGACACAGATTCCACAAAGTAATATAACAGGCAACCTTTCCCTTCTTCCTGTTTGTGAAAATGTGTGTGAAAGAGCTTCTCTAACCACATAACAGCCCCTTCACCCACATCTTCCTGAAGTGGAAAAGCAAAGGGCACAGGAAGTGAAAAGGGAGGGAAAGGACTGTGTTCCTTCAAATAAGCACATACAGGAGGACAGGAAGTAGTGTGTCCAATGAGAGAATCATTTTGTTTTTAGATAAATTACTTTCTTCTTTATTCACCCTGAAAAGAAAAATGGGTTTCCTCAACAGTTTCTGTTCACCACATTTTCCTGTGTTTTTTTGTCCTCTTGTGCCATCTTAATACTTCTATGCGTACTACTTAGGGAATTTAATGAAGATATTTTTCACTTTTACACATAAGAAGGAATCAAGTATAAAGTGATTATGAATGATTGATTTTGAAAACTAATTGTCCATGTAGTTAATCAGAAACAAAATCTAGCAAACTGTTTCTTTGTCTTTAGATGTGCTGCTGACATGCCCAATGTCATTAAAAATAGCCTTTTGGGGGCAAGCATTTACCTCTATATGTTGTAAATGGCTCTTTGCACACATTTAGCAAAAATCAAGCAAACTAACAAATAAAATCCACATTTCCTCACTGTCATATAAACCTTCTGGTGTGTGTACTTATTCTGTGTTGACATCGCAGATTTTCATAGTGGTGCTTTGGATATAAATATACAAAACCATTAGCATAGGTGTTAGCTGTGTACAAACTGATAAATTATTAAACATTTAAAATTTTACATTTTGGCAACATATCTTACACAAAACTTTGCTTTCTTAGAACATAGCAAATTTATAGTTTAAAATATTTACATTAATATAACTCATTCTACAAATATTAGACTGCCTATTACTTATAAGAGGATAAATATTATTCAGTTCCATTTAATAAATTCAAGCCAGTATTTTGTACCCTTTTCATGCTTTACAAATCCATTTAATAGCAGTTGGATATTTGATGTTTTGATTATATAGAAACATCAAGAATTCAAGTGATTGAAGACATATTCATTAAACAAAGATACTATTACAAAATTTATTAATTAGATGAAAGCACTTATGAAAGTATTATATATTTATTAGAAAATGATAAATCATTAGTGTTTTAGACGGCACATAAATCTTTAGCCAAGAACTATTAAATGGGTCAATTTGAGTATTTTGATTTCATTAATGAGAACTTAAGAATGGGGGAAGCTCAGTGAATAAATAAGGCCCTTCTCATTGAAGAACTCGTTAACAATTTTGTTACAATGCAGTAATGACTGACATTGCCAAAATACTTTTTGAAGAAAGAATTTAAATATCAAATGTAATGTGGATGTTTAGAGCATTAAACATAGACAGTAGTGTTATGTGGCTTTAGATTAAAGAGGTCCTAGAAACTTTTTACAAACCAAAGCCAATTCTATCAAAACAACTAGATTTTGACAGTACAAAACAGTAGCTGCATGTGGTGGCACACACCTTTAATCCCAGCACATAGGCATCAGAGTCAGACAGATCTCTGAGTTCAAAGCCAGCCTGGTCTACAGATTGAGTTCTAGGACAGCCAGGACTATACAGAGAGGCCCTGTCTCAACAGAAAGAGAAAAAGAAAGAAAGAAAGATTATAATTTATAAGCCAATTTTAAAACCTAGAAAGAAAATTTAACTGTGTTTTGTATTTTATTTAATACCGTGAAATTAAATCATCACACATATGATACAAAATAGGTAAATTAATAGTATTTAGAAATTAAGTTTAGGAATTTTTAAAATCCATCACCTTAAATTGTAGAAATCAAATAAAGCCTGTAAATTTAATTAGAACTATTCTCTATATATTCCCAGAAGTACAATAATGGCCCAAGTATTGTGAGGGTAGCCAACTTCATTTTCATTGCATTTAAGACTAACCCTATAATAGGAAAAGGATGGCTGGTACTGTAAATGTGTTCAACAACACGGTTGTGGAGTTCACAAGTCTCAGGGGTGAATCTACTCTTCTAGTGCACAATCAGCATAGTGGCAAACCGCCCTCTAAAAATATCTCTAACCGTAGATTAGTGCAGCTCTCAGGCATCATTGGAGAAAGTTCTTTGTGCAGTGAAACTCAAAACTTGTCAAAGTGCAGAAAAAAGTGTCTGTGACGTGTTCAGCTGGAAACAGGACATACATAATCTACCCTTTTCACCAAGGCTGGGGAACCATTGCAAAAGAGAGGGTGGACAGTTCACAAGAGGCAGATGCCAGAAAAGACGAGCAAACAATGTTTTCTGTACATGCTAGAACCACTACACTCATGGCAGCTATGACTGCCTGCACAAGACCTTCATGAGACCAAGGCAGTCAGCATTCTATCGAGGAGGAAACAGGGATTCACAAACTTATGCCCATAATTAAGGCGCTGTTGATAGTTCATGAATTCTGAGGGGAGGAGAATCTGGTGTTTTGTTTTGTTTTTTAAGGGTGTGATCCTGGCAGATCAATGATGCTCCACTGGGTGACCCCACACTGAACACTGTATGGGCATAAAATATTGGACCATTGGACCATGTGAGCCATTAAACGAAGAAGAAGAAGAAGAAGAAGAAGAAGAAGAAGAAGAAGAAGAAGA